TATATAGAGAAAAAAGTTAGTCGGGCATGGTGGCGGCATCTGTAGTCCCAGCTACTCGGGGCTGAGGGGAAGGATCGCTTGAGCCAGGAGTTTGAGGTTGCTGGTGAGCGCGAGGGCGCTGACGCCACGGCACGTCACCTAGCACTCCACTGGGCAACAAAGTGAGACTGTCTCAAAAAAAAAAAAAATTGCCATTTTAAAATAAAAAAAAAAATTGCATTTTAGCCGATTTCTGGAGTGCGCAGTCCTGTGGCATTAAATTCGACGCTTCCACACTGCGGCACAGCCGTCACCACCACCCGTCTCCAGAACTTTCTTCCCGAACTGCCACTCTGTCCCTGTTAAACACTAAGCCCCGCAGCCCCAGCCCCGCAGCCACCAGGCCGCCTTCCTTTTCTGTGGCCTTCGGCCTCTCTGGGACCGGTGGACGCAGATGGCCGTGTCCGCATCCTAGCACGGACGTCTTTGCTACCACGAACACGCGTCCGCCCCGTGCGGGCTGTGGGGACGTGGAGGTGGCCCTAGGTTGACTGTCTGCGTCTGAAAAGTGGACGAGAATACCAGCGGAAACGCTCTCCTACAGAGGCACGACCGCGAGACCCAGCGGCATAGTGAGGAGAGGCAGGCCCAGGGAGGGACCGGCCCTGGGACACCTGAGCCGGGCAGGAAACCGAGTCGTCCCAGCCGCTGGCCTGCGGGCTTCGCTGCGTCGCCCGAGGCCAACCAGGGGCCCCGTTCCCCCGGGAGAAAACGTTAGGAGGCTTTGGTTTTGTCGTTTCCAGAGTAGGACACAAACGTTTTCAAACACTAAACAGAGACAGGGCACAAGTTGAAAGTGATTATACAACGACCAGCGTCAACCAGTGACCCTGTGGGTCAAGGGTGAGAGTGGCCAAGGACACGTGAAAACACCACGTGGGCGCACAGACGCCGGGGCCTCGGGGTTGGTACCTGCTGGTCCTGCCCGCCGGCTCTCTGGCCGCCGTCCGCAGGTGAGTCTCTCTGCTTTGCCGAGACGGGAAGAAATGCTCAGCGTCGGGGAAAGAGCAGGTGAGGAATGAATGTCAATTAAAGAAGTATACATAAAAAAAAAAAAAAAAAAAAAAAAAAAAAAAAAGAAATATACATAAGCGGGGCGGCGGGTGGCTCGTGACGTGGTTGAATTCCTAGCACTGCTTGGGGAGGCCGAGGCGGGCGGATGCTCGAGGTCAGGAGTTCGAAACCAGGCCTGAGCAAGGAGCGGAGACCGCGTCGTCTACTAGTACGAGATAGAAAGAAGATTTAAGTTGGCCAACTGAGACATGTTGTATAGAGAAAAAATTAGGCCGGGCATGGGGTGGCGCATGGCTGTAGTCCAGCTACTGGGAGGCTGAGCAGGATGGGATTGCTTGAGCCACCCCGCCCGCCCCCTGCGCAGGAGTTTGAGGTTGCTGTGAGTAGGTGACTGCCACGCACTCTTCTAGCCTGGACATACAAAATGTGAGCTTCGTTGGTCTCAAAAGAAAAAAAAAAAGAAGGAAGTAATATACAGTAAAGCGGGCTGCGGTGGCTCGACGCCGTGTAGATCCTAGCACTTGGGGATGCCGAGGCAGACGGATTGCTTGAGGATCTCTCGTGCTTTTTTTCGCCTCCCTCCTCCCCGCGCCTGTGGGCGGACAGCTCCACACTGGGGTCTCCCGGCAGCCACACGGGGCAACAAACTGAGAGGGACCGAGGAGGAAGCCTCCGGTATGAGTGGGCCCCAAGCCCCGCACGGACCTTGCCGGGGACCCTGCTGGGGTGGGGAACGTGTGACCTCATCCCCGAAATCATTGCAGCGGAGAAAGACGCCCTCGAAGGTGTCAGGGGCCACTTCACTCCACGGCCACGATGCCGCAGATGGGTCACTTGTGGGGCCCCCACCAGCAGGGAGGGGACACAGCGAGGCAGGGCCGGAGGGGCACCAGGCCTCGGCGACGCCAGCGCCGCGCTGTCTGCCTGGCTTCTTTCTCTCTCTTTTCATATGACATGCATGACATAAAATCTGCCGTTTTAGGCCGGGCGCGGTGGCTCACGCCTGTAATCCTAGCTCTCTGGGAGGCCGAGGCGGGCGGATTGCTTGAGGTCAGGAGTTCAAAACCAACCTGAGCAAGAGCGAGACCCCCGTCTCTACTATAAATAGAAAGAAATTAATTGGCCAACTAATATATATAGAAAAAATTAGCCGGGCATAGTGGCGCATGCCTGTAGTCCCAGCTACTCGGGAGGCTGAGGCAGGAGGATCGCTTGAGCCCAGGAGTTTGAGGTTGCTGTGAGCTAGGCTGACGCCACGGCACTCACTCTAGCACTCACTGGGCAACAAAGTGAGACTGTCTCAAAAAAAAAAAAAAAAAAAAATATACATAAAGCTGGGCGCGGTGGCTCACGCCTGTAATCCCAGCACTCTGGGAGCGAGGCGGGCGGATTGCTTGAGGTCAGGAGTTCGAGACCAACCTGAGCAAGAGCGAGACCCCCATCTCTACTATAAATAGAAAGAAATTAATTGGCCAACTGATATATATAAAAAAAAAAATTAGCCGGGCATAGTGGCGCATGCCTGTAGTCCCAGCTACTCGGGAGGCTGAGGCAGGAGGATCGCTTGAGCCCAGGAGTTTGAGGTTGCTGTGAGCTAGGCTGACGCCACTGCACTTGCTCTAGCCTGGGCAACAAAGTGAGACTCTGTCTCAAAAAAAAACATATATGTATACGTGTGTGTGTGTGTGTATATACATGTATATACACATACACACATAAACACCTGAGCTTTACTCAGAACTTAGAAATTTCTAATTCTTTTTTTTTTTTTGTATTTTTTTGACACAGGGTCTCGCTATATTGCCCAGTCCGGTCTTGAACTCCTGACCTTGAACGATCCTCCCACCTCAGCCTCTTGAGTAGCTGGAGTTACAGGCACGTGCCACCGTACCTGGCCTAAAATGCTAATTATTGAAGGTCTCATAGAACCTGCCACCTGCTAGCCCTCCTGAATTCCATCTCTTCCACGTGAACGTCAGTCCCTGACCTCTGGGCCGGTCTGCGGGAGGGCAGAGTGCGAGGTCCACGCGCCCTGAACTGACAGTGGCGTCAAACCCCAGAAAAAGCCACTAACCTGACGCAAAGGGTTAGGCTGAGACCGTAGGAACCACTGAGGGACAGGTAAGGACACGTGAGTCTGCCACCCCGGGTACGCCGCTCTGGGGTAAAGATTGATTTGGGCTGAAGGCAGGGGAGAGACGGCAGACACAGGAACAGCCGCTGCCTCCTTCTGCCTCAAAGCAGAAGCGGGTGTGGATTCCCTCTGCGGACCTGCCCCCACTCGGCGGGGAGACTGAGCCCGGGAAACAGAACTCACCGAAGTGACCCTAACCTCCCGTGCGTTTCCCCCACGCACTTCCCTTCCCAC